CTGGCTGGGGAATTCTGGGAGTTGAAGTCCGCGAATCTTAAAGCTGCCAAGGTTGAGAAACACTGCTCTGCATCTTACTTCTAGCATCTCCATTTGTGATCCCCTATAGTTCCACGAGACTTATGCAATAAAACAAATGCAATACAAAACAGAAGGAAAGCTTCTGCAAAGTCCAGGGGTGGAACGGCCTAAAACGGGCAGGCCACTTCCCCCCCCCTTCTGCAACGAGAAACAGATGACCCCTAAAACCTAACCCCCCAAATAAGCTTTCCATGGGCTTCTATGGAAAGCAACCCGCTTCACCAACAATACTGGAGAAAAAGAGGAATTATCTGAGCATCCGGCACGCGCATGATGAAGCCACGGGGGTTTTGCGTCCTGGCCGCGCGCTAAGCAAATGCAAGCAATTCCATTCCGAGGACCGAATAGTTTGGCGAATGTCAGAAAAGGCCACCCTTCTTTTGGACCAGATGCATTTGGCCATTCCAGGGACAGTCCAGCGCTTTTCTCAAAGTCAGTTTTCCAGAACAGGAAGCGGTCCGTGGGGTTACAGACGTGGCTCGGCCCCCAAACCGGCATTGCTTCTGCCCCTTTCTTCCCTCCCCCAAAATATGACGTGCACGCTTTACAGGCAACAACGAGGTTAGCAACTAATGTAGTCAACCTTTCTGCGTCAAACGTATTGGGCATTTCCATTTTCAGCTCCTGCCCTCTCCCCCCACCGAACTGGGTGCCACCGAGAAATGAGAAAGGGAGCGAGGTATCAATAAGCCAATTTATGGATGTGGGCTTAGAAAAGAAATATGGGAAATTAATATTGTATGTGGTTTGGTGGCGAGATGATCGTATGCAAAACGGTGGGAAAGTAATGAAATAGCTACAATGGAAGATTGATTATAAAATGAACTGAATTTGCAGAAATGGCAAAGCCGGCCAGTCTGGTGAGGGAAAAAAAATGATGAAGACTTTTTTGAAAGACTGGAAACATTATACAGGTAGCCCTCAGGTTACGACGGCCATTGGGACTCGAGTTTCCGTCACTAAATGATGGGGTCGTAAAGCACAGTGTCACGTGACCACATTGCTTAGCAATGGCAATCCCAGCAGTCTCAGTTGCCATTGTAACCCCAGGACTGCGCAGGTCGTTAAATGGAAAGAGGTGGAGTCCCAGGCAAGCAGGCCAGTGGGTGAGAGCTGTGGGTAAGAGCTATGGGCAGGTGGGGGTGGGGGTGGTCAAAAATGTGGGCTGGCCCAAATTTTGATCATGTGACAGCAGGAGTGCTACGATGGCTGGAACTTCGAGGACTGGTCATAAGTCCATTTTTTCAGTGCAGTCATAACTTTGAACAGTCGCTGAATGAATGGACGTAACCCGAGGACTACCTGTAGGGACTTTTTGTTGAAAGAAGAAAAAGACTGAATTGATGATTTGGGGATTAAAAAGGGCCAAAGCGGATGGGAAAAAGATGATAATTACTTGATAGAAAGAAAAGCGGAAGGTATAACTATATGCTTTCTTCTCTTTTCATTTCTTTCTTTTTCTTACTTTCTCTTTTTGTTGTTGTTTTGCATATATTCACTGTATCAAGTATATATGTATATATGCCAATTTATCTGGTCCAAGAAAGGTGGGTTGGAGGTAAGAAGTTTCTGTCTCCCGTTCCGAAAGAGATGTTGAATTTCAGGGGCACTTTACCCAGAATCTAAGGTGCTGTCCAGCTGATTTGATGTTTTTATCTATTTCTATGTTTTTTCTAGTTTTGCACACTGCTCAGAGTCCATTGGAGTTGGGCGGCTAATACATTCAAATAAATAAAGGAATAAAATGATTTTGCCTGTCTTGCTGGGATTAGAGATGTCTCTGAGGCTGAGAAAAACACAAGAGCATCACGAAATGCCATTCATAACAACAAACAGGGAATAATATTTCAAGGTCTGCCTCATCTGGAGAAAGGACAGTTAGCCCTTTGGTCTTGCCTTTTCAGAAAAAGGGGTTGCAAGAGCTCTCAGGGACTCTGCCTTCCTGAATAAACTAATCTGTGAATATTGGAGTTTGGGCTTCTTCGGTTTCGGAGATTAATGTCAAATCCTAAAAACCTAGAAAGTAAAATTCAGGACAAGTGACATCCGTTGGGTTTATTCTCAAGAAGGTAAGGGGTTAATATAGAGAATCCCGGCTAGCCTTGGTTACTTTGGGGGGTACGTGTGGTCTACTGCAGTGTTTCTCAAACTTTCTTCTCTCAGGACCCCTTCCCACTTTTAAAAATGACGGCGGACGCCAAAAGAGCTTTCTTTGCATGGGTGATATTGATCGGTATTAAAAATCAAAACGGACGCCTTCGTTGGTGCTACCGCTTCTCATGACCGTTTGATGGGACTTTAAGATTGTATTGTTTTTCCAGAAAGGCTGGGAAATCATTTTGCTTTCACAGACCCCTGAGAGGATCTTGGGGGACCCCCGGGGGTCCTCAGACCACACTGTGAGAAGCCCTGGTCTGGTGTGTCCTGTGAGCCCTGCTTTTCTCGGTTACGTTATGACTTAGTGTCCTGGACACCCACAGAAAAGGGGCTAACCCAGCATCGCCCCTTCTGCAAAAAACACGTCATTTCGGTTTGCAGCCATAGCTTTCAGGATAGCCGTCCCTTCGACAGCTCTCTGAGGGTTTCTCCCGCACTGTCTTTTTGCCTAGTGATCAAATTAATTAACTCAGGAGAGTTTGGCCTGGCCTGTGGGTTTTGTTTAATGCAGATGCTCTGTTTTGCTATAAAAACATAATCCGAGCGGCATGTCGGTTCTGTAAGTGGGTAAACAGCCATGTAATATCTTAGCGGTAGAGACGGCCACAGGGCGAAAGAAAAAACAGCATTCAGACATTCCCAAACGCCTCCTTGCCTCCCTCCTCCTTTCTGCCTTTCAAGTTTCCAGATTTAATGGCAAATGGAAAGCCTCTTTCCAAGGGGGGAATGAAGAAGTAATACAAGGAATATTTTAGCCGTTCGCTGCATTTTATAAGGAGCAGGACCTTGTCTTTCTAGAAACAAACGCCAATTTCTGTTGCTCTTAGTCTCCCAATCTGGCACCTTGGTCAACTCCTGTTCATTAAATGTTGAGCATCTTTTCAAAGTCTCCTTGGTGACTTCAGCCACACATCCATGCAGGTTTTGGAAGTGGAAATCTATATTGCTATTAAGATTGGGGTGTTTTCTGCAAGCCTCCGCCTTTGGGGTTGCGTTTTTCCCCCGTACGTAGTTTACAATAGCGCACCCTCGTCCATTACTCCACGACAATACAAATTTTATACAGACATTTCCCCGACGTGCTTGTTTTCCAACCGACAAGCGACGATATTTGGAATCGGGTGAAATTTCAAAGGGTGAGTGCATTTCCGTCTGAGGACTGGCTGAGAAATGCAAAATGAAGTGATGTTGCTTTTATATATGAAGTAGCTAAGATTTCTTCCCCATCTCGACTTCTTCTCTAATTTCACAGATTCAGGCTGAGAAAGGTCCTTCCTCTGTGGCCCCAGTCGGTGCTCCCTTGATGGTAGCATATTCCGAACGCTCTTCCGAATTGATTTTCCTGGGAATCTGTAATCTGCTTGGGCCCTTCAGGTCAGCATAGACGATCTCTTTAACCCCAGAAGTCTGGAATAAAAGCAACAGTGAGCTCAGGATTTTAAACCCATACAGGCACTTCCGCAATGGGTACAAAATTAACTCACCTTCTGGGACTTACAACACACTGAAATATAAACTAACGAGGCCACTTTACCCCCCCACCCCAAAACACATAACCAGATGAACACTAACTATAACCAAGTAAACACT